GTAATTAAAACAAAAATTTCTAACAAAATATATATTTTAAGAATTTGAGACTAACACTTCTAAAGTTTATATGAGTGTATACAAAAAAAAAGGAACATTAAAAACAGGGAATCAAGTATATATTCAAACATATTATAAAGCCACATAGTTAAACAGCTAAAAAACATTTCAGTAAATCAGTAAACAAAGAAAATCAACAGCCAAAAGTAATAGATGAAGTTAGCATGTCAAATCAGTGGGGAAGGGATAATTACTCAGTAGATAGTGCTGACATAACTGGTTAACTACTTGGAAAAAGGTTAGAGCCTTACCTCATCATATACACCAAAATAAATTCCAGAAGGATTAAAGCATTAAAGATAAAAAGATGAAACTATAAAAGAGCTAGAAGAAAATGTAAGTAAATAATTACATAACCTTGGAACAGAGCTGAACTTTCTAAGCACTATGGCATAAATAATGAAGAAAAAGATGATTTTATTATTTAAAAATATATAATAACAGTATTTTTAAAATATATACAGAACAGAAAGGGAACTACAGTAGCAAAAAATATTTTTGCAATAATAGACAACATACAAAACATTAATAATTTAAGAGGTAAAGAGCTCTAAATCAAAAGACCTAACAGGTGAAAGAAAAATGGTCAGAGTTATAATAAAAGGAAATTTTTTTAAAAAGAACTACAAATGGCCTATAAACTGATGGAAAATGTTCTAATTAACTAACCAAAATATGATATCTGCCTACCACTGTCAAAGTTGTGGTTAAAACAAGCAAGTAGGAATTCTCACATGGAGCTGGTAGGTACAATTTCTGAAGGACAATTTGATAACTTGTATAAGACTTTAAAATGGATATATCCCTAGACTCAACAATTTTAGGTCTAAGAATTTATCCTCGGGAAAAAAATATGAATACATGTTATGATTTAGCTACAAGTATATTCATCACAGCATGTCTTTATTTTTTGTTAATCCTCACCCGAGGATACTTTTTTCCATTGCCTTTTAGAGAAAGTGGCAGGGGGGGAAGGGAGGGAGGGAGGGAGGGAGAGAGAGACAGAGAGAGAGAGAGAAACATCCATGTGAGAGAGACACATTGATTGGTTGCCTCCTGCATGTGCCCCAACTGTGGTGGGAAATGAACCTGCAATCCAGGTATGTGCCTTTGTCTGGGTA